TTTTTTTTTTTTTTCTTGCAGTTTTTGGCCGGGCTGGGTTTGAACCCGCCACCTCTGGTATACTGGGCCAGTGCCCTACTTTGAGCCACAGGCGCTGCCCAAGGATCTTTTGACTATTTTAAGGTCTTTTGGTTTTCCTGAGATAGGAACCTTGCGAGGATTTTGAGCAGAGGAACGTCATTATCATATATACCTACTGTGTCCCTAGACCCTGAGTGGCTATTAAAACCAAATAGCTGGCTCAGTGCCTGTAGCTTAAGCGGCTAAGGCTCCAGCCACATACACCAGAGCCAGTGGGTGTGTTCGAATCCAGCCCAGGCCTGCCAAACAGCAATGACAACTACAACCAAAAAATGGCTGGGCGTTGTGGCCAGCGCCTATAGTCCCAGCTACTTGGGAGGCAGAGGCAAGAGAATCACTTACGCCCAGGAGTTGGAGGTTGCTGTGAGCTGTGATGCGATAGCACTCTACCCAGGGCAACAGCTTGAGGCTCTGTCTCAAAAATAAATAAATAAAACTAAATAGCTAACTGACTCACCTGCCTCCACTCAGGCCCCCTTGAACTTCCCTCCTCTAAGCAGTTCTCTCTGTTCACTGTTTGAAGTGGCATTGACACCCTGCCCCACCCTTAATCTTTTACAAGTGTTCTTTTCTTCCTGGCACTGACCACATTCATTATGGCATAGAACTGTTTGTTGACTGTCCTCCTATACACACAATGCAAGCCCCCTGAGGTCAGGGCTGGAAGTCTGTCCTCCCCCAGGTGTCCTCAGCCCAGATGCTGATTTCAGATGCTGATCTCTTGGAGTTCCACATATTGTTATTCAGGTCTCAGCTCAATTGTCCTCCTGAGAGCAGAAGACCCTGACCAACTATCTAAAGTAGCTCCACCCTGCTGGAGACCTTGCAAATTATATTCGATGACCTCCATCTGTCCCTAGTTCCTTCTGAGGCCTCAGTTTCCCCATCTGTCAAAGGAGTTGGGGGAGGTTGGAACTAGAGGGTTACCTGAGGTGGTTTCTTCTTCAATCCCACCTCCTCTGAGCAGCTTTTTTTTTTTTTTGGAGACAGAGCCTCAAGCTGGGTAGAGTGCTGTGACATCACAGCTCACAGCAATCTCCAACTCCTTGGTTTAAGCGATTCTCTTGCCTCAACCTCTCAAGTACCTGGGACTACAGGTGCCTGCCACATGCCCAGCTATTTTTTTTTTTTTTTGGTGGCAGCCATCATTGTTGTTTGGCAGGCCCTGGCTGGATTTGAACCCCCGCAACTCTGGTGTATGTGGCTGGCGCTTTAGCCACTTGAACTACAGGCACTGAGCCTGATCAGCTAATTTTAAGCTCCCCCAGTTGTGCCATCCTCTATTACATTGCCTTATTTTATTCTTTTTATATCACCTGTATCAAGTTCTGAAATATCCTTTTTATATATTTGTTCATTACACCCTGTTCTGTCCCTCCCACTCCCACACCCTCTAGAATGTAGGTTCTGAGAGGCAAGATGGGAGTCTATCTTGTTTACAAACATAGCCCCTTTTAATTCAACATGTCAACACACATTTTTGAGCTCTTTCAGCTGGTATTTGCAGAGCACCTAACCATGTGCTGGGCACTAGGCCATGGAAATGTAGGGGAAAGCAGAAGTCCACAGAGTCCCTGCCTAACTGCAACCCTCTATGGAGAAAGTAACACCCCCCCTCCTTTTGATACAATTTAAGTCTGTAGCCTAGGCTAGAGTGTAGTGGTGTCATCATAGCTCACCTCAAACTCCTGGCTAAAGCCATCCTCTTGTATCAGCCTCCTAAGTAGCTGAGACTACAGGCACCCATCACCAAGCCCTGGTAATTTTTCTTTTCTTTTCTTTGAGACAGAGCCTCAAGCTATCCCCCTAGGTAAATAGCATCACAGCTCACAGCAACCTCCAACTTCTGGGCTCAAGCAAGTCTCCTGCCTCAGCCTCCCAAGTAGCTGGGACCACAGGCGCCCACCACAGCCATCATTGTTGTTTTGGCGGGCCGGGCTGGATTCGAACCTGCCACCTTAGGTGTATGTGGCTGGTGTCTTAGCCACTTGAGCCACAGGCGCCGAGCCGGTTTTTTGTAGAGACAGGGTCTTGACACTCTTACTCAGGCTGGTCTCAAACACCTGGTCTTAAACAATCCTCCCACCTGGGTCTCCAGAGTACTAGGATTAAAAGCCTGAGCCTCCATGCCTTGCTGAGAAAGGAAATTCTGACTAGGCACAAAGCAGCAAGGTTCACATTTTCCACTCAGGGCCTCAGTTTCCCCTTTTGTAAAATGGGGCTAGAGGATGAAATGATGGCCTCTAATCCAGCCCTTTGAGCCACTACACTCAAAGCCCTTTTCCTGGTATTCTACTGCTAAAAGCGTGATCTCAAGTTTTCATGTGGAGGACATGAGGTTTTGACTGGAGGTGAGGAGTAAGAGTGTGTGTTCTTGGGAGAGTGGGGGTGAAAAGACCAATTGTGCCCTTAACGAACGTGAGATGGACAAACGTCTTCCCCTCTCTGAACCTTAGTTTCTTCCTCCCTAAAGTGAGCATTCCAGACACTCACTCCCAGGCTGGGGATGGGACAACAGTGTTCCGCGAAGCCGCCAGCTGAGTGGCGACCGGGGCAGTGCTAGCTCTGAGCTTGAGCCGACCCAAAACCACGTGGGGCAGTGGCGGAGCTGCGGCCGGAACCCAGGCTCCGCGGCTCCCGGCCCACCCGGGCCTCTGCAGTGGGGGCGCAGGCGGAAGTCCGGGCTCCAGCACCCGTGGACCTAGGTGAGTAAGTGGTGGTCGGGGCTGTTGTGGACTGTGCCTTCTCCCTACCCGCTACGCTTCCACTCGTGCAAAGCCCAGAGTAGCAGAATAGGCAGGACCGCACGGGCAACGTAGGCAACCCGGACGTTTTGGCTCGTAACGCCTGTAGCAAGGACTCTGGTCCCGAACACCGGCAGCGGGAAGGTCCCACGCGAGTAGGGTGGGAAGCAGGGAGAAGGCAGAATGCACCTTCTTCTCCTGGAAAACAATAACAGCCACAAGAATAACCGCCTCAACAGTGACAGTCCCCAACTCCCACCTTTCCCAGGAGAAATCGCTTGCGCGATCTGAACCTGGAGGGGGGAAGATGTGTCCAGTCCCTACGCCCTGGGTGGAGTGGGGAGTGGACGCCTGGGGGCCAGGAGGACTCACTTAGTATAAGAAAAGAGAGCAGTGGGTGGCCAGAGCGGAATTGTAAGAAAACTGACCTGTCCCGGGGCGAAGGGGAGGGGAAGGATTCTGTGTTGGGAGTTCTGACCCTTTGCGGTGGCCTATTTAACTAATTTGCATCAAGATGGGGCAGCCGAGGGGTGTGTCTGTGGACACGTCTGCACCTTGGTTAATTAGGTCTGGGGGCTTAGCTGTTAACTCAGTTGGTTCCCCTTACCCTTGCAAGTGTTTGTCCACTAAGCTGATGCTTTTTCATATTGTTGAGTCTGGGGGCCCCAAGAAGGGAGGTCTGTGAACCTATCTTTGACCTAAGTAGTGGGATCTTGAGCCTATGGACTAGTTTTTCAAGTAGTAGGGGATTGGTTTGGACCATATTTTCTGAAACATTAGTAAATCCCTGGCTTGGAGATTTAAGGTAAAGGCCCCTGGGGCCAGGTCACCAGGGAGAATGGATAATGCCTGCCTTTACCTTCTTGGGCACACCCTTGGGTGACCTTTCTCAAATTAGTTTCTTATCAGGTCACACCTTGGCTCCAAAACCTCCAAGGTGTCCCTTGTGCTGGTGGAAGAAGCCTGCCCTCATAGCAGGAGTGAGTGCCCCTACTCCTTGTCAGACCAATCTGAGTCTATTCCTTCTTTTGCACTCAGCAAATGATTTGCTGTCTTCCAACTTCATTTCCCACTTTTGGAATATGATGATTGCATCAATAGGAATAAATCCTCCTTATTTCCTTTCCTGATGAACCAGTCCCTACACTGGCCCTCATTTTTGTTTTATTATAACTTAACATAATTATAAGATTAACATAATTCTTTGGCCACTTGCTTAATTCTGATCATTAAGTACTAACTCTGGAGACTAGGATGTTTCTTTCAAAAATCTCTGGTGTTGGCTCAGTGCCTATAGCTCAAGCCACTAAGGCGCCAGCCACATACACTAGAGCTGTTGGGTTCGAATCCAGCATGGGCCTGCCAAACAACAATGACAACTACAACCAAAGAATAGCTGGGTGTTGGTGGCAGTCGCCTGTAGTCCCAGCTACTTGGGAGGCTGAGGCAAGAGAATAGCTTAAGTCCAGGAGTTGGAGGTTGCTGTGAGCTGCGATGCCACGGCACTCTAACTAGGGCGACAGCTTGAGGCTCTGTCTCAAAAAAAAAAACAAAACAAAAAAACAAAAAAACACAACTCTGATGTTAAGTAGATTAAAGGAGGGCCCTAGAGGCTAGTAAGGATTGACTAAATTGGAATGACATGGTGAGATAAATTATGTAGGCCAGGTGTGGTGGCTTAACCTGTAATCATAACACTCCATGAGGCAAAGGGGGAAGGATCGATTGAACTCAAGAGTTCAAGACCAGGCTAAGTAACAAGGAGACCCCATCTCTACTAAAAATAGAAAAATTAGCTGGCCGTTGTGGTGGGTGCTTGTAGTCCTAGCTACTTGGGAAGCTGAGGCAGGAGGAGCACTCGAGTCCAGGAGTTTGAGGATGCTGTGAGCTATGATGAGGCTGCTGCACTAGCTTGGGCAACAGAACAAGACCCGAGTCTCAAAAAAAAAAAAAATTTAAAAATGTAAATATCACTTAATTTCATTCACTGTGGTCTTCCCCCATCAGGAAACAACTCTTGGAATCTCCTTTGGCTTCTTTTTCTCCCAATCTATACCTCCTATCCACGGAAATGGTTTTCAACTTTCCAAATGTACCCTAACCTGCTCACTTTGCTCCACCCTCATTTCTGTACAAGGGACCACTGTACATTTCTCCCTAGGTCTCCTCACCGGGCTCTCTGCTTCTCTCTTTGTTGCCTACTTTTCGGTCTCTGTGCAGCAGGCAGAGGGGTCCTGTGAAAGCCTAAGCCAGATCCTGTCACTTTGCTCAGAACTGTCCAGTGGCTCCAGTCTCAGAGTAGAGGCCAAATCTGTCCCTGCTCCTACCTCTTCCATTCTGGTTTTCGTGCTGTGCCCTAAAGCCAACCTTCCCCAGTCTTTGTACATGCTGTCCCTTCTCCTCTCTGACTGCAGTGCATCCCCCTACATCCCTGCACAGCTAGAGGGCTTTGTTCATTCAGACCTGTGCTCAGATCCCTTATCATAGGGATCTTTAATGAGCTACCTTCTTGGAAACCACTTTTTGCCCTTCAGGCTGGGCCAAGTGTCCCCTCTAGGCTCCCTCATTCCCACCTTGCCCACTCTGGGTCATTGCCTTCTGGGGAGAGGTCTGTGACCCCCACCGGACTATGAGCTCCTGAGGGCAGGACCATGCTGTCTCAGTCATAGGTGTGTCCCAAGACAGCTGAACATGGGCCATGCACAGAGCCAGTGCTTTCATGATAGGTATGGATAATCCAGATGAGGGAATCACCAGCCCATTTGCCAAGGTGTCTTAGCCATCTCCTCTGATATGTTATGTTAATTGGGGCTGGGGATGGAGTTGGGAAGTAATCAGGCATGCCCTTCTCCCAAAGGCTTACATCATGTGGTAGAACAGGCAGCACGTATATAAACAGTCACAACTGCATCTCCACTAAAATTAAGAAAAATTAGCCTGGCATTGTGGCAGTCATCTATAGTCCCAGCTCCTCACGGGAGGCAAGAGGCTGAGGTGAGAGGATCACTTGAACTCAAGAGTTGAAGGTTTCTGTGAGCTAGGCCAATACCACAGCACTCTATCCTGGGCAGCAGAGTGAGATTCTATCTAAAACTCTTTAAAAAAAAAAAAAGGGGGGGGGAGCCCAAGGGGAAATTATCCCCTATTTTGAGTAGTTCATCTTTTAACCCTGCGGACTGTGATCATCTCTGTATTATTTGTCCTTAATGAAATAATTGTTAGACGCTGGAAGGGAGTGATTGCCATTTTGGACAGAACGAGGGAGT